TTAGCTGACTTACAATTGCCAATAATATAACCACTGTTATAAATATATACATTTCAATTCAGTGTCCCTTGCTAAATTCCACTTTGAGCAACTATGTTCAGCCCTTTTCATTCCTCCCATATTTTCTTTTTGATGGTTTTTATTATTACGCTTACTAGCTCGTGTCTATTGTGATTGATTTCTGGAAAAGCATTTGAAATCTTGGCCTTGTTGAAATCACTGTAAGTTTCGTCTTTGACTTAAGTGGTATCAGGTTTTAATTGTGATGCATTAAGCAGCAGAAGTAAATTTGTCATAACTGCCAGCGGGATATGCTATTAGAAAAAGAAAACTCAAGGTTAACTTATTTGAATAATTGTACATATATATTGTATGTAATCTCATATTTTCTCTGTGCTTTGCATGACAGTTCAGATAGCTGAGAATGCGCTGTGTTCTTTTGCATATGCTCTGGCAACTAAGAATGTCATTTTGAAATGGCATAGGATAATCCTAACACTGGGATTAGAGTAACTGTATATAGTTTGCATAGTAATTTCCAGGCAGAGGAAAGGTTTGAAGGACAAGGATGAAAATATCCAAACCTGCAAGCAAAGCTCTGTGTACCAATTACCTGTGCTATTGGGATCTGTGTTCACGCAGCAGAGCTATGTTGGAACAGTAATAAATAAACCATATTTGATCAGGCCCACATTTGCGAAGTTGTTGTGAATATTAAGAATGGAAGATGCTGTCTAGAGAAGCTGCTGCTGTTATCAAAGCAGCAGGTTAGCAGTATTGTATCATATTGACCAGTGTCAGTCTGGGTTTAATGAATGCACTTGTCTTAGTAGGGTGATCTGAACACTCTTCTTACCTGGGATATTGATTTAAAAGATACTGTGAAGTTGTGAACCACAGCTCAGTAACACCTTTATCCTAGCATGAATGGAGAGAGGAAATAATTCCCATGTAAAACGTAATTTCGGGAACGATGAAGTAGCATGTATGAGTGGGTACATACTTTTACAAATGCAAAGCAAATATCCCTTCCTCCCTTTCTGACTGTACTAGTACATACGGAAGATGGCCAGACCCATGTTCCTTGACTTACCTTATTAATGTCCACGTGTTCTTCATCGGTGTTTGAACTGCCAGGGATAGGCAACTAAATTAGTACCGTCTAGGAAACAGGACTGTTCATATCATCTGCTCACTCTTTTGCACCTGTGCAGTCTGAGCCACAGATTGACCTTTACTGGTCTGATTTGACTCTACCTCTGTGAAGCAAACACTCAAGCACTGCGATAGAATCCAGGGACCCTAATTCACAGTAGCTTATATAGGTTCCTAGATAATAATTCTTATTTGCATTAATCACATTCATCAGCAGAACCTGTGACTACCTCCTGACTTATATGCAGTCCTGTTTCTGACAATGGAAAAAAAAGTATCAATTCTGAAAAAAGTGTTTTAGGTATATTGATACTTGATACTTAATAGTTGCAAAACGTAACTGTTAGAACAACGACTGTTTTCCAAATCAATGGCTCACACATTACTGTAAAATATATCGATTAAAAAACAAAGCAAAACGTTAGTCATTTAGTCAGTAGAGTGATGCAATACTGAAATAAATTTATCCTTTGACTTTTGCATTAACCTTTTATTGACTGCTTGCATACTGATAATTAACACGCACTTTAGCTAGCTTGGTTAATTTTAGCATTGTGTTCAGTGTCCTCTAATGTAGCTGACACCCTGATCATCAAAATGTCAGTGCAGCCCAGGGGACCCTACCCAGGCAACTGTCTGTCCCAGTGAATGTGCACCTGCCTGTGGTGAAAATAGCCACCTTCCAAGGGGAAGCATCATGTATTGTCATACAGGTAGTCATGCCGATGTTTGTAATGACTTACGTGAGTTTAAATTAATATGTAGCTCTTGGTAAATATTAATGTTCAAAGTCCATTTGGCAAAAAAATACAACAGGGGACTCAAAATGTGTGAAGTTGGCAGGGGAGAGGTGGTGAGAATATGCACCACAACAGTAAATAAATGGTCCTTAAAAATGGGCTTTTTTTAACTGGAACTGGCACATTGTTTTAGCAAGAAAGTAGGATCCATGGAGTTTCATGCATTCTGCATATCTTTAGACAAATCATCTTTTCTGTACTATATTGGTGAGCATGTGTTTTTATCAGGGTGTTGGAGGAAAATTGCTCTGAAATATATCATGGTAGTTTTTCTATTTTTCTGCTGTAAATAAAGTATCAAAGATGCCTCTTGATTTGGGATCTGTTCTGTCTGTCAGAGCATGTGTTATTCCCATTCTTAACACATTTTCTGCATATGATACACACAGGTTAGATCTACTCTCTTTTGGAGATTTGACTTTGTTAACTCAAATAACCGTTTTTAATTGATATATAATATTTTTATTAACTTACAATATTATAAATCTTGGTACTTTCCCACTACCATCATACTTTAGTGTTTGCAGTGTTTCCACTGTTTTTGGAGTTTCATAAGTTCTTTGGAATCTGGGAAAAGAAGAAATTTCTTTTTAATCTGAGTTATCATTGCTACTTACTTATGTTAGCTATCTTGTTCCAGATACAAAGAATTTGAAACAATTCTGTGCAGTTATTTAAGTGCCTTTGATTGCTCTGCATCAGTTAAAAATGGTGCTGCTATCCTTCTGCAGGATCTTCAGGTCTGTTACTCTGCTACAAATTAAAGACCATTGTAGGAACAGTTTCTCTGACAGAAATTTATTAAAATCAATAGTAATACACTCATCTGGAAAGGACTGCTTTTGCACCCTGATTCTCTCTCACACACATCTGCTATTAACAACGCATTTTTCACTGAAAGGAGAAACATACCAGCTTTTAGCTTCTTCACCATTTCAGAGCCCTTTTCATTACTATTCATGTCTCTTTTCCATTTCTCTCTCACAAATTGAATGAGCAACTTTTCCTTCATGTTTGGTGTTCAGGCATTCGTGTTGCTGTAACTGCGGCAGCAGTCACAATGATGTTGTGACTGGACAGCCCATGAGCAGCTATTGTCAGTTTTGCAGACCACATAACATGCCTGCAGTGTTTACTGTCTGAGCTTCTTGATTTGTCATCTGCAATATTCTCTACATGGTTAATTTATCCACTTTGAGATTGAAATGCTTAAATTGGAATATCTTATACTACCCAGTAAATTGAGTGTATTATTTTGTGCCAAGACAGAAAATAAAGCAAGGTTTTAAAAGCCTTACAGAGCTATGCTGTAATTAGTTTCAGCTTCCCCTGCATATTAATTTTCTCCTGTTCCTCTCTATAATTTGGAAAGTGTTTTCAGAACATGCTGGTACAATCAGTTAAGTACCTCTCAGAACTCATACACTAAACTGCATTTGCTCTAACAACTATTATAAAGCAGCCAGCAAAACAAATCCTCTGTTATTCTGCACAGTGCAGCTTATCAATGCAAACAGTTTAATATTTATGCTAAGAGGATTGTCACAAGTAGCTTCTGTTCCTTTAATTCTTGTTTTAAATAAATAATGAGAACATTTAAACACATTACTCTTCCCAGGGCCCTGAGGTCGGCTAATCTTATTATTTATGAAGTGATGTGCTACATAATAGTACTTAGTGCATGTTAACAGATGCTATTATCAGGGGCTGATGTGGAGAGCTGAAGATATATTGGAATGTTATGTGTTAATACTGTCCTTGTAGTGTAATGTACGATGGATTGAGTGCCCAGGATGCTGGTGGGGCAATTAACCACACACCAACATGGGTGTAAAGCTGAAGTATGTTTTCTCATGGGGATTACACTGCCATTAATAATTCCCAAAAGAAGAAGGCATCTTTCATTTGGAAACAGCCTCTTCCAGAAGGCTGACAGTGTAGACAAGGAAGTTGCATGTGTCAATGTTTCTAGAGTTCATTTTGCTGAGATGAAAGACATATACATGTTTAAAACAACTTCAAAATTTATACCAAAATTATATGCTTTGTAGAACACAAATTTAAAAAAATGTCTTACAAAAGGCAAAAATGTATTTCTACAGTTTGCTTGTTATCTCTTTGAAGAACTACATAGACCTGTAGTATATGCCAAATTTATAGTGATGCTTAGCATTTTTCTGTGTCTTGCCCTATTGAGAGCATTAATTAATTAATCAGCAACATGCAAATTGTTTAAGAGGAGGGGAAAAGAGAGGGGCAGAAATCCTCCATGAACCTTGACAGTTTTTTTGATGTAGCATGTCGTATCATAGCGTAATCTTAAGAGATGTGATGGTTGCCACTTACAAAACTTTCTTCTGCAGGCTGCAGTTCAGTTGAATAGTCTTCAGTAGTATTGATGAATAATCCATTTAATAAAAAACATTGTAATTTAAACATCTTCTCTGGGGACTACCATACACCAACCTCTTAATTTAATTTTATTGAAGTTTTGCCCACCTATTCATAATTGGAAGTTGTTATTAACCGCTATTTCCATTTATCTTTATAGAATTTTCTCGTTTTATATTGCCTTTTTCAGAGCTAAGCAGGTTGATACACTTGTAAATCTTCAGAATCTACAAAGCTAGTCTGGCTTCTGTAATATTGTTTAATCTATCCCCCCTGACCTTAATGCAGTAAATTCAGTTTAATCTTTCTCAATAATCTAGTAATACATTGGAAACTGGCAAACATTTAAATCTGATAATGGTTTAATCACATACTTTAAATAACAGCTGAGATAATGAAAAAATAATTCACCATATAAAGGTACACTAACTGAATTTTCTCTGTGATTGGCTTTTTGAGAAATCCCTATAGAAAATACAAAGCCTACAACAGAAATCCACTGGAAATGAACAATCCATTTGGCCAGAAGATGTGGTATTTCTTTTTTATTATCATCTTTCTCTTTGAATTAATGCACGAATGTATCCTTGCTGAGTATTCAGTTTCTTTATACAATTTTACTTAAGTAGTTCATCTGTTTACCTTTCATTTCAGATGCCAGTCAGAAGCAGCTGAGAGCTTGCCAGAAGACCAGAAACCAGAATGCCATCCCTTCTGGACAGATGATGAATGTAATATGTCTCTGCCATATGATCTTGAAGAAGTAATTACTGATCTACAAAATCTTGTTCAGTGGGTAGAATAACAAGTGACCTTATAGCCTAGAATTGTTGATGCTCATGACTTGCATTTTATCATAAGTCTTTTTAGCCTTATTATTCCTTGACTATGCTGTGTGTGTCAACTCAGAGTTTACCAGTCTTCCCACAGTACTTTAGGTACTGTCTCATAATAAAGAAGACCAGGCCCCAGATCTACAGAAATGAGCAGCTTTTAAGACCTGACGTCCAGAGCACCAGCCTCAGTTCTCTCCTCCACTCTTAATTACCATTGACCCCACAGGTCATGGATATCCATGTTTACACAGGTTCCCTTGGCATCTAAATTTCAGCTTCCATGGTTGCCTAGAGCTGCCTGTGTCTTGGCAGGTTTGAGCAGCACAAGGTGTAGCTCACACCTGTGACAAAGCAGAATCCATGATCTTGGTGTCCTCATAAGAGACCAACTTGGAGTGAGCCTGCTGGATAGCTTCAGAATAGATCTGTGACTTCTTCATCCACTGACACAAACAGAGCTGGATGTGGTGGTGGATCAGGCCCTTCATGCAATGGCTTTTCATTAGAGCATGTTTTCAGATGAGGAACTCTGGAAGAGCATCCTGACATAGATCCCAAGACTTTCTTGCTGCTCTTCATCGTGGCACTTGAGCAGTGCTGGGAGAGATTTCTGATGTGAATCTAGACCACCTGAGCTCCCTGGAGCTCTGGATTTGGTTCCTAAGCATTACTTTGTTTCTGCATGTTGTGAGTCCTATTCTGAGTCCAGGTTTTCCCACGGTACTGTCTGAAGAGCTGATGGACCCAAGTAAGGGTTTCCATTTGGTGTCAGGTCTCCTGACAGCAGATTTAATATGATATTGGGCATTGCGACACCTGTGTTGATCTAGTGAGATCTATGAGAACAAAACCAGAAAGACGATTAGAAATAGAATCATAGAATCATAGATTAGTTAGGGCTTGAAAGGACCTTAAGATCATCTAGTTCCAACCCCCCTGCCATGGGCAGGGACACCTCACACTAAACCATATCACCCAAGGCTTCGTCCAACCTGGCCTTGAACACTGCCAGGGATGGAGCATTAACAACTTCCCTGGGCAGCCCATTCCAGTGCCTCACCACCCTAACAGGAAAGAATTTCCTCCTTATATCCAATCTAAACTTCCCCTGTTTAAGTTTTAACCCGTTACCCCTTGTCCTGTCACTACAGTTCCTAATGAAGAGTCCCTCCCCAGCATCCCTATAGGCCCCCTTCAGATACTGGAAGGCTGCTATGAGGTCTAAATGGAGCTGTTTGTGATCTGTTTTATAGTAACATGCTATAAAAAGAACAGTTCTATGCGGGACAATACAGAGCACTCCTGAATGTAGAGAGAGATTTTTCATTTGGTTAAGTTGCTATTTTAACTTGAGCTGGTGTACACCTTCTCTTTTGCCATAGAAAGCAAAAGAAAATCATATTGTGGTGAAACGGCACTGTCTGTATTGCCACTACGAAAGAAACCAAAGAGACTCAAAGCTTGACGTTGCCACAAAGAAATGAATATATGCCTCATGTGTTAATCTTCCTTTTAAAAGCACTGTTGAGGCCAGGCTTACCCAGAGCAAAGCGTTCTGCGCGGGGCTTCTGCTGCCGAAAATTGTACTTTTGACAGCATAACATATGCCAGACCTCCCTGGAGCTTAAGAAGCTATGCCAGCAAAAATTCAGCTTTAGTGGTATAAAACTGTGTCCACACCTACCAGCTTTTGCCAGGACAATTACATCAAGTAAAGATTGTGCCTCTTAACACCCTTGACATGGTTGTGCCAACAAAAGTATGAAGACCTGCATCAAGCATTTTCATTGTAGTCTTAGACTTCTGCAGAAACTGTTAGCCACCCTTTAGAATGTAGACTCTCTGAAGAATAAATTATTATTTAAAGTGGGTTTGAAAATATTATAACCTTTATCTATACATTTCTCTATTGTCTTTTGTGCCACAGGTTTCTTAACATTTAAAAATCCTACGTTATGGGCATAGCTTTTTGTTTCCTGCAGTATCTAAACCTGGCTTTACCACTGGGCAGATAGCATATATTTGGATTAATGCCACACTAAATACTGTTTGCTTTTGAGATCACTTAGAGAAAAGCTAGCTGATGAGGTGGGAATTCTGCTTTTGAAAAGGCAATTCTCACAGAAACAGATATTACTTTGGAAATGAGCAAGATGGATTCAAACAAGCTAATGATGTAACACTGTTAACACAGCATTTGAGGGGATTGTTTGTTTATGCTGTTTGTGTTTAATTAAGCACTGCTAGAAACCATGGTGATCACAGTATTGAAATGAATCTGACAGCCATTAAGGGTAGAGAAGGCACATCAGTGCTGTAGTTTGTAGTTGAAGTGGAGGCATAGTTATTAAAAAATGATCAGCAAATAATTATTTCCAGCAGTAGTGAAAAAAAAAAAAAAAAATAATTATTTCCAGCAGTAGTGAAAAAAAAAAAAAAAAACGTTTTTTTTTTCTTGTATTAAGAGGCTGCTGGCAGCAACAATAAATTAAAAAATAATACATGATTCTTGATCTTTTCTGTGCTGAAGATTTAAGCTGGTGAATTAGCTAAACTAGTACTAGCTTCAGTGGAGTGAGACAGCACTCATTTAAGCCATGGATGGCAATGACAGAAAAATGAACACCTTCGGAGTGGATAGGACCTAAGGTCCACTGGCCAACTGCCAATAATCCAGTGGTTAAAGAGAATTAATGCTCTGGGTTTCATTCCAGTCTCACGTCATCTAAATCAAGAGTAACTTGACTTGAGCTCAGAAGTATAAGTATACAGAAGTATAAGAAGATTTCATCTCCAAAGCCCACAGGATTTGATATGAGTAAGGTTGCTGGAACTGTTTGAAGCATGTAGTAATGCCAAAGGGTACCCCAAAACAAGAACGTGGTTAAAGGTTAATATCCATAAAAAAACTGAGAGATCAAGTGTAAATTACTTCTGTGTTTGGACTGCATACCAGAAGCAGACAAATACTTTAATGTTTTCTCTACTTCGTTCAAGTAGCTATAATTTAGCTCATGCTGCAATGATACTTTGGCTGTCCATTTATATTCCAGCATTAGATAACCCATTTCTATTTTGGATGAGTTGAAAGACACAGCCTGCAATGGATGTCCTGTGTATAGCAGCTGTTTGCCAAGCCTGGGTGCTCTAGAAGCATGAGGCCAAGGTCAGTTTTTTCAGGGAAGAGGTGAGAGCATAAATTAGTCTCAAACATTAGGTTCAGTGATTCTTTTTAAATAGTGAAGTTCATGACTTTGCTTACATTTACTTTTCATCAGCCATGAAAGAATTAAGGTAAAATAGTTCACTTGCACGTGTGAGTCAGGTTAAATGGATTGCAGAAGATACAGATCTGTTTGCCTGTCTGCACTTGCCTTTAGACAATATTCATCAATTTTACAAAAGCTACTGACTAAACATGGAACCAATACAAATGAAGTGCTTGAGGGCTTTCTTTTAAAAATCTGGTACAGAGTAGGTTTTACACTGATAGAAGGAAAATGTTGCCAGAAAATGAAAAACTTTATTGTTTCTGTAATTTGGGGAATGAACGATAAAGGCTGTTTTTAAGTGTTTGATAGAAAACTGCTGTGTTATGCACTGTAATTAGAAATGTTTTTATAATGCTTTATTCATGTCTTCATATTTGAAAATATTTGATCCTGTAGGTCCTTTCTTCTGTTTGGAAGGCTATGTAAATAAAAAATAGTAATCTCAATACAGTAGATTTTAAAGGCATCATACTTATACTCTGAGCTTTACAGCAGATTCTGATTATCTAATGTGTAAATAAGAATGCCATGAGTAATCACCAGCTGGAAACTGTCCAGGATGGGTAACATGCAATGTAATAAAGATCCAAATCAGTTGCCTTATTGTTATCCAGATATGGTTTTAGTTTCACTGGCAATGATGCAAAATGCACTTTGAAGTCATGCTGGACTTCTTTACACTGGCAGACTGATTCAGGGATTCCAGTGCCATAACAGGCAAAAAAATGAATTAAAAGGACACTAAAATCCATCATGAAAGAGAGATAAAATATCATAGTGTGTTACGAGTGGACATTGCTCCTTTCTCAATTATTGTAGTGTTGTTACCATTAGTCCTGTGCCATGCAGTGGGATATAGGTTAATGTAGCAGGGATTAAACTAGCCCAGGAGCTGATGTCTAAGCTGAGATGAGAGGAGGGGAAGACAGATGAGATGGAATACACATGAGAAGCAAGGGTTGTGCTTTCTCAAGGCCACTTTATTAACTGAACTCATATGGGAGTTATTGAGCACTAACTTGTACAGTGCAGGTCAGGATCTCTCCCGTAATAGTTACCACCTGATGCAAAATAAATGTTGGCTCCATGACCCCCTGCTCATGCTTCCAACAGCTGGTCCTCTGCTAGGACCACTGTCCTCTTGCACCAAGGTTACAGAGTTAGAGAGTGGTTGTTCCACTGTAGCAACAGGCATGAGAAACCCTGATCCCCAGCTTCAGCCTCCACATCTGTCCTACAACACCTCCTTGGACAGAGTTCCTCTCCTGAAAATCTCTTTCCCATTTGAGATTCAAGTCATCACAGCTTGTCTTCTGACCTATCCCACAAGGACAGTGAGTTGTTATGGAGAAGGGTCAAACAGAATGCTGTTTACAGTGAAATTCTATGTCCAAAAATGACAACCACTGCACTAACCTAGCATTAAAAGGTAGGAGTTGTTAGGTAGTGACGAAATACTCCAGCAGAACCACCAACGTTCAATGTTTCTGAGGACATTCAACCTGCCTAATTCTGGCCGTCACCTCACCCCACCTTTAAGGGAAGAGACAATCTGGAATAGAGCCACTGTTCTTTTTCCAGTCTGACCTGAGACTCATCACCTTCAGTGTAGCTGGGCTTGCATCTTAATTTGTATTCATCTGTCCTCTTCACCTTAGCCTAGGGGCATTCACAGAAGAAGAGAAGATGATTTATGCAATTACAAAAAGACTGTACTTAGTAAGACTGCAGAACTGGCTGAATAACGTGTCAAATAAAAGACAACAAATAACTGATAAAATTATTACATTAAAATGTTGATGTTTCGGTGTGAGCACTTCGCACATGACATGAAAACTACGGTTTATCTTGTTGCTTTAGTGATAGCATTCATAATTCATGCGATAGAAAAGGATATACTATACTATGGTTTACATCCTCTAATACTCCACTGGTTTTACAGTGCTTCTCCATGGTGAATCAGGATTTGGTCACAAAAGTTGTTCTCCTCCCCCTCCGTATTGTCAAATACTTGTTTTCATGCCAACACATCTTGGTCTGATTAGTACCCTTGATTAGAGGCTAAAGTAAAAAGTCAGGTGTATAGGATTCCCATTATCCTTTATTTCACTGCTTCTAAGAACAGGTCAGATAGAGTTATTTCAGTGAAAATGTGAACGATCAACTTCTGTTTACCATTAACCTTCAGTTTTCGTTTCTTAAAATCAAATCAGGGCTTAGTAGGCAGTTATTTTCATACATGTCCCTTGATCAGTGGAACAATCTGTCAAAAGCCATTAAAGCCTCTATTAGGTTGAATTGCATTCAAAGCTAAATTAAAGGGCTGTGATGATTGTTTCTAATATAGTATACATTGATTTCTCTGTCTGAGTAGTAACATAGCTTTGAAACTAAGCATGTATGACTAGGGCTTTTTCCTATCCAGCATGTCTTGGGAAGCTTGGTTTCTTGTGAAAAAATGGATGTCTACATAAAAAAGGAAAAAAATGAATGCAGCAAAGTCACCTGTATATTCTCAAAAGCTTTTCCTCCATTTTTTATATTTAAGTGTATCCATCATGGTGTAAAATATATGGAGTGGGAAGAGATTTCCTAAGGTGCT